GACGACGACGACTACTACTGCTACCGGCCGCGTGACAAGAACTCCGGATGTCAGCACTGCAGGGCTTCAGGGGCAGCAAGGACTTCAATCAAGCAACCATCCGGGCTGATAGCTTAAACCAACAAGCACGTGGCGGTCTTTGTATCTTGCAAGCTCAGGTCATGGGCCGACCGGACACGAGGTAGTGCCACTACATCTCCTAACTTCCTAGCGAGTGTAAGGTGCTGATGGTGCTTACCGTACTGAGAGACAGATCCGTTGAAGTGTCAGCTTGGTCCAGCCCCTCCATCACTGGCAATAGTGGGAACAGCAATATCATTACCCTCATGTGTTTGCGGGGTCCTTGTTCTCCTACGCTCCCCTTACAACGGCACCTACTTTGATTTAAGACACGCGTAGTATGCGAATACAGCAACCCCCCGGTCAGACTTCCGAAACAGCTGCAGCAAAAAGCTGGAACGAGCAGCACTTCAGAGAATTGATCAGGAAACCAAAGCAACTAGTTGCAGAATCACAGCATCGATCGTATCAAGCTGTGGGACGACTGTGGAAATTCCGAATAGCACTATCCGATATGGAAGCCACACTGCGTAGCACCTACGAAAGTTGTGGGTTCTGCGCCAAAGGCAAAACCATTGAACAAAAAGGAGAACATCAGGGAAACAAGGTTAGCACAACTGAAAAGGACATGGGGTGGAGGATCCAGCCTTCATCATGTAGGTGTGGGTCACCACATCGCCATTCTCCTAGACAGCGGTCGTCAGGTCACGCTTCAGATCCACTCGCATCACTCCCGATGCCTGGTCTGGGATGAGGAAGCATGAGGATATGGACTAAACAGGTTGAGGAAACCATTCTTCCCAACATATTTAGCCCATAGAGAATGACAGCATCTTGGCTCAGGAGCTGTCAATGTCGGATGCTAGTTGTGATATATGTCGAGCGGAAGTTAGAGCCTAGTGCTGCAATGCTTGCACTGCTGGGTGCGTGGCGAGGCTCATCTCGGTTTCGGCAGGACGGCCTCCTACACAGAGGCGGCCCTCTGCTGCTGCCGTTGCAATCTCGGCGCTGTCGGGCTTTAGGGTGCTCTTATGTTACTATGTTTCCCTATATATACATATATTAACTGCAATATATAGTCATATGTATATGTGTATATGAATAAACAAATAAATAAATAAATATATATATATACATACAGAGAGAGAGAGAGAGACAGAGAGAAAAAACATGAGATGGTTACATAGAGTTAACAAAATAGTCCCTTTAGGCTTTGGGGTGGGTCAGTGCCGAAGAAGGCAGGATTGAAATAGATAGCAATTCAGTGGAGATCCACGCGAAGAGGCAACTACACACATGCAGGTGTGCATGACACGGCGGCCATATACTGGATAGTCTACTTTCAGGGCACTATGAAGGGCCCCATAAATTAAGCTATGAATGCTTTATCCGAGCTTTATATACTTGTAGCTGGCCATGGTAAGTGTGAATGAGTGCCAGGCTCTGCTTGAGAAGGGCTTGTAAACCGGGAGTTTGTTTTTACCTGCGCGAGGCCCGGACGTATTCTGCAGTCAGGCCAAACTCCTCCAGCATGACCTGACATCTACTTCCATCCGGCCCACCAACCAAATGCTTCACGGTTACGGCAATACGGTCTACCCATAGGCCCCTAAGTAGTTTCTTTGTGGGATTACCTTATAGGGTTCTAAATATAAATCCACAAAGAGGAACTACTTAGGGGCCTATGGGTAGAGTCTACCTGTAAAGAGTCGCCTGAAAAATCAAATCAACAATAAACCTCCACAGGCCCTGAATCGCGACATCCTCACTCCCAAGTTTAAACCCCACCCTAGATCAGTCGCTCCCAGGATCCTACCCTGAACCGAACACTGCCGGATCCCACAGCACTGAAACCCTAAATCTGAAGGCCCACCTAACCCCCAGAAGCCCCAAACTCGGAACCTAAACATCCCAAGATCCCGTGCTAAGCAGAACCTCAAGGCCCAACAAAGGCAGCCAGAAATTCGAAGCACCAAACGTCCAAGAGACTCCTGTCATAAAGCCCTTCATCATGTATTTTTCATGGGTCTCCTCAAAACAAAACCCCCCCTAAATCCTAAACCCTAAACCCCGAAACCTCAAAACCTCAAAACCCTAAACCCTAAAAACCCTCAAAGAGGAAGGAGCCTCGGCCAGGGGCCGGCCCCGCCAGCGCATCTTCACGTTGACGGTCCTAGGGTTGATGACATACGTCCTTAGCATGACCCATAAATAAGGAATATACCATAATTCTTATAGTTTCGGGTTACCTCAAGTATCCTAAACTATGGGAATTATGGGATTTCCTTATTATGGGTAATGCAGGATTTGTATCATCAGCCGAATGAATGAAGAAGCAGGCTCTAAGGGGTGAGTGGCGTAGAGTTTACTCAGGGGTTTTAGTGGTTTAGGGTGTACGTCGGGTGTAGTGGAGCTAGGGCTTGTCGCCGAGGGTGTAGCTAGGGCTTTTGGCTCAGGCTTCTGGGTTTTTTCGGCTTGCCAACCATAGGTTGCTAAAGAAAGGGGGCAGAAGTGCTTTCTAGTTTTTCTTGGGGTTCTAGGATGATCTATTTTGATATTCATTCATAGCAATCACAGCAATAATATTAACAACAAAACGAATCTACTAGTAGTATCAGGAGTCACGGTTGAGGGCTTAGAGGGTTGGCGTATGGTGAAGGGTTGGGGAAGAACCGGCTTCCTTCCAGCGATGAACACCGAGGCTGTCGCTTCGTGGTTTCGTACTCCGCTAGCCTGCAGCGCCCATCTTGGACCTTCAGCACCATCAAATGAGCTTGGGTTTGGGCGGTTTCGGGTTTGAGGCTTAGGGCCAAGGCGGTTTGGGCGGCTTCGGGTTTGCGGCTTAGGGGCCAGGCGCGGACTCTGAGCTTCGTCACAGTTGCTCGGAATCATGGCAGGGGCCTTGGCTCAGGGTTTCTGTAAACTAAACCAGTCTCAGAAACCCTGTAAGCCTGTAGCAACCCCGATTATGGCAACCGTGCAGTAACCGTTGCAGTAGCCTCATACTAGCCCTTCTAGTAGGCTTATAGTAACCTGAAAGGGCACCTGAGAGTTCCGGCTGAGGTTTTGGACACTTCTGGCTCCCAGGGGCTCTTGATTTCGTGGGCTTTAGGCTTCAAGGAAAAGAGCCAATTCTTCAGGGCCCGAGAAGCACATGTCTGAGTGTGTCCTCAACACCACTACTTGCTGAAGTCACAGTGTCATGATTTCTCGAAAGAGCTGAGCGCCCTTGCCTAGCAAAAACAGTAGGGACCGCCTATATAAGGTAGGGATGTAGCCGTAGAAAGCGAATGCCCATATCATGCTGTACCTTTGTTGGGGGCCTCTCAACAAGGCCCTTCCGCACCTGAAAGCCGGGAGGAAAGGCCACAGAGATTGGACCGGCATCCCCCATCTGACATCGAGGCCCAAGGCCTTTTTCGAGTCGAAAGTGGTCCCAGGGGGCGGGGGTTCTGAGCCCTGGGGCTCGAGGAAATCCTATCACTGCCTATCACGAGCTCGATGGTCTTGTTTGGGTTCTGTGCATGTTGAATCTGAACAGTTCCACGACGTGCAAGCACTAGCGAAATCTGAGTTTGATCTGCTGCATGTGCCGATGGACCTTCAGCTCCACATCTGAGCTGGCCAGTTTTCCGTAAATCTCGCATGTAGCTTCGGCTATGAGTGCGGTTCATCAGCCAGCGGCTGCAGCAAAGGCGCAATTTGATGAGCAACACGGCATGGCACCTAATCGCCCCTGGCGACTGTATGTAGATAACGAGCACTGTTGCCCAGTTTTGGGCCCTCTCGGATTTCGGGCATCTCGGAATCCACAAGACCCGGCCACCCCAGCGACTAACGGCTCGCAGCCATGAGATAAGCCACAGATGTTAGGTCCTCTGCACGGGAGATCCAGGAGATTCTCGGAACTGGAGCTTCAGGACAATGACTCCAAGAGAAGGAACCGATTTCATTTAGCTAATTCAGCTGCCTGCAGGCACGGCTCCCATTAAGCCTTCGAGAATCTGACCAGGACATCGAAAGGGTGAAATTCGGCGAGGTAGCTGTGCTAACTCAAACCGCGCTGGACTCCAGTAGCCAAGATCCCGTGCTTCCGCTGATGAATCGGTACTAGTCCTGAAATTTCCTTCAGACCACAGTGTAGCATTCTTTACCCCTGCAAAGCATCCGATTCTACCATAAAGGCCCATTTAAGCAAGCAACGAAGCGGAAAATTGCCGGAAAAAGGAGTCGAAAAATCCTAACCCTAAACTCTAAACCTTAACCCAAAACCCTAACCCTAAACCTTGCAGGAGTCGAAAAAAGGCTCTCTTGGCCCCATTCGCGGGCTTGCGAGTTTTGGATCAGTCGGCGAAGACCATGTCCAGGAGCTCCTTCACAGTCTGTATGATATATCTGTATATATATATACACATGTATATATATATATGTATATATTATATATATATACATATACATATATATATAATTACATATACATACACATGGATTGAGGATGATTTCAACGTCTTCCATAACGGCCGGGCCGGCCCTTCTCCAACTCTGACGAGCCGTCCTCTGGGGTGCGATTTGTGAAGTAATCGCTGTCCAGATGAACACCTTCGGCCTGCACTGCACCAGGAGCTTTCGAGCTGCCAAACGCTTGCTTCTTGCGTTCTGCAGCTAGACGCCCACAGCCAAAGCAAACAAGGCAGGTAGTGAGTGGGCACCTCGCAAAGCTGCATCACCTTGTCTCGCACCTCGCGCAGGGATCGACCATGGGTATGCGGCATACACTGGGAGCTGAAGATGGGAGCTGAACACGACTCGAATCAAATGCAAGCTAAGCATGCAAGTCAGCAAGGTATGCTCTGTTGACCTGCCGTTGACCTGCGCATACCTGACGACAACCCAAAGATCTGCCTTCACTCCTTTTCTCTGCGCCATGCAGTAATGGAGTCTGAACCGGAGATGGGGCCTCGCAATTTTTGCGATGGGCCCGTCTCCGTCTTCGAAAGGAGCGAGATGGTAGCCCCACGTGAATCGAAAGCTAAATCACAAGCTGGCAACCCGACCGCTCCTTTCTATTCTGGCTTCCTAGACCTATTGGGTTTGCATCATCTGAGCAGTGGTGGCCTTTCTATAATGCAGCTGTTGTCGTCTACGATGCCCTTTGACGTACTGCAGGGAATACCTGCAAAAGTAGTTGCTCATGACTGGAGAACACTTCTCAACATGATCTGCAACTTCGGAGACAACTGCAATCGCAAACCCAGTGCTAATGGCCTCTAGCGACCTTTGCTGCAACGACTACGTAGCTCTTGTTGGCTCGGTCATGTGGCTCCTGGGACGCTCATGGCTTCTGGGCCGGCTGAAGATAATTACTAGAAGGGCCTAGAAGCATGGAACGGGGTTATGGGTCTGTTACAAGATCAGTATATGAGGACTTCAAGGTAATGCTATTACGGCATATTCTGACCCTAGATCACGGCGTATAGTTGCAATGGCAAGGTTTGGGCAATTCTCAGTCATAGCCAGCCCACTGCAACTGCAAGGGGAGGGCGCGTTCAACTGCCATGGTGATCAAGCCGCCTGCACATCGAGGTCGCACGGGTGCTTCTGGTCACAACCCTGTCCTTTGCTCGGGGATGTGTGTTCTACAACCCGGTGATGTATCCACGCTGATGCCGAAGCTACTCTCCAAGCAAGAGATGATGAGCGCCACGGTCTGGAGTGATGTCTGCCCGGACACGAGGTCAAGCAGCTGCATCTGTGCTGCAAACGGAGAGCATTCGGCCTGCAATATCTCTGACATATGTTCGAAATTGCTTAGTCATACTAACAGGGTGATGACTGTGAAACAGTAGCAGTCGACACCCTACAAACCCACAAGCTTAGACACCTCTTAGCCTCTTGATGCATAGTCCTACAGCGAAACTCAAGCTACCACCGTTGCATCACCGAAGATGCTACCGCTCCCTGTAGTCGTCTACCGGAGGTTTTCTCAGGCGCTCTCATCTGCAGACAGTGCAGTATACTCTTTTGATTCCGGTTCCTCAGGATGTCAGAGGAACCTCAAGTCTGGCCATATACCGGACCTTGGCAGAGACCGGAGGCTTTTTTTTCAGCTGGTTCTTGAGATCCGGGTCCCTAAAGCCGTGGGCACTGGCGCGCTGCAGCCCTTGAAGGGTGCTTTGATGGTATCAGGTTTTGCAGTTGAGTTGACGACTTTGCCCAAGAAAGGCTGGGCGGATCGTAGCCCTCAAGGCAACTTCCCAAGGCTTGCGTTTCTACAGAGCCGGACTGCAGTCCCGAAGCCCCCAAGAGTTTGTGCTTCGGGCCTCCAGTTCGGTGGTCTACACTCTGTGCTGTACCCAGAGAACCCATTACCCTGAATTCAGGAATATACCTTCAATCATACTATGAAGGCCCCAACAATTTAAGGCATATTCCTGAATTAAGGGGTATTGGGTTCTCTGGGTATGCCTTTTCGCCTCAGGAGGTCTACCTTCGAATCTCTGAGTCCCGGGGCGTCCAGAGTCTCGCCTGAAGCTGACATGGCAGCGCAGTCGGGCGTCTGATCGGTGGGAATGACCCAGAACCTGGCAAAAGAGGGTTCCTAGACTAGAGAAATGGTAACATTCACAAACTTCTAGTCACCCAGGATGTTCAGGATCTGCTCGACATGAGAGAGTCTAGTCCTAGGAAACGAGGTTAGTATATGCAGTACACAAAGTGGGCGTTCTTAGGATTTAAGGTTGGTCTAGGGGTTTAGGATTTAGGGCTTAGGAGAAAGCAAGAGGCAGCTGATTGTAGTGAAACAAGCAAAAAGTTAAAAGCGAGCAGGAGTAGTGTAGTGCTCTGTAAGAAGAACATCATCACTGGCACGAAGACAGCGCTCACCGGCAGTGCTTTTGGATTTTGGGCTTGAGAGATGGAGTAGTCACTTCGGAGTTTCCAAGTATAGATGCTGTCGGTCTGTGGACCTTTAAGCCTCTAGGCCTCTAGGTCTTCACCAGGGCATTAGGGAACTTGGTAACAGGGTATATCGGGGCCTTCAGAACTAGGATATAAGGTTTTCGGGGTGTATTATGCCATGCACATATGAATTAAGGAACCCGACGGAACAGTATTGCTAGTTATTCAGGCTCCTATACTATAGGATTCTAGCTTCCAGACCTGAATCACTGAAGGTGGCGGCTGACCGATGGGGCTTCGAGATAGTATACAAAACCCTGGAGGCCGTACGCCCTTCAAACCCCGAGCAATGAGGTACCTGATCGACGTCGACCAAAACAACGAGAACGGAGAATCTAGATCTTGAAATCGTGAGCTGACTGCAGAATTTGGACAGAGCACAGGAAGGTCAGGCTAACACCCCACGCGCCGAATCACCATGGCCGCCACTATGACCCTCACATCTTCCAGATTCTAAATCTGACACTCGGCTATAGTTTCTGAAGTTCATCCCGCGATAGAAACTTCTTTCTAACAGTTAGATGAAGCCCAGGTGTGCCAGAGTTTCCCAGGAGCAGCACATCTTACCAGAAATGCAGACATGGCTGATTTTGTTGAGGCTGCTGCTCCCAATGAGAATCCTGACTCGCCCTCGGGGGCCTTCTGCCCTTCAAGTCTGAGATGGCCTTCCCCCACTTGGGGTTTAGGGAGCCGTCCTGGAGGCAAGACTTCGTCGGGTCTTTCGCATCATCCCGTTCGCTGCCTGTTTAAGAGCTACTGCGTGGCGGGTAGACGTAAGGCGATGATGGGGGGACAGATGCGGACTCAGCGCAAAAAAGTGTCCTGAAGCGCCTTTTCAGCGCGCACTTCCATGAGTGCCAGGATGTCCTGATTCGGGCGCCAACGATTTCTTTCTACAACGATCTCGGAACTTATTTTCATGTTCATGCTAGTATACCATCCTGAAAGTTGCAACCTTCCTTGACTATTGATGCTATTCTTTTTGCTGCGGCCTCGACAGCGCCGTGCATTCAGTGGCTGGTGCTAGCAACGGCTTCTGAAGGTGTTTCCGGCTACCACAGAAACAAGACATAAACGACATGACAAGGGCAAGATTGCTCCTCAACCGCGGCCAAGATGACATGAAAGTGTCGTCGCGTTGGGTAGATACGCCGATCCGAACTCACCGGCACTGCCCTCTGCACGGGGTCCTATGTGAAGTCTCGAGTCTACTTACTTGTGGCACCCTTGATCACCGAACGTCTGTACATCACAAGACTTGTCACAAGATCGACTGCCACCAAGGGCTGCAAAGCGAAGGAATTCCTGGATGCGCCGAGTCGGGCCTTGAGGGACATGTCGCCTCGGATTTCCTGGCGGGCAGAGTGCTTTGTCCGAGGCTCACGACGAAGGGTGAGCTTGGACCGTCTTCCTCAAGCAACTTCGAGATCGCCAAAGCGCAGCAGATTGTGTGCACAGGCTTCAAAAGACCCTAAACCCTAAACCCTAAAGCCCTAAACCCTACAATTAGAACCCTAAACCCTAAACCCTAAGGGCTGAACCTGGCCTGGCCGGAGGAGCTGGGCATCTTGCCGGTCTCCTTGGCCTTCTTCCACTCGCCGAGGTACCTGGGGTTTAGGGTTTAAGGTTTAGGGTGCGACTTTTTTCTTTCAAGCGGATTTTTTGGGGGCTCTCGGTCTTCGCAGAAAGAGTCTTCCCAGCTGGGGGTGAGCTGCTGCGTGGGTTGCCGGCTCGGAGAGTTTCATCTTGGCATGCGAAGCTCGTCGACCCAAATTCCAGACTCCAGCTCAAGTGCCCGGATTCGTTGTGGATAAACATGGATCAGAGCGGATTTCTGATTTAGTCCTGCTGTGTCCTAGCCATCATCGCATCTTCCTTATCGTCATCAACATCATGCTACGCAGCGCTGCCACCGTGGTCGGCATGGCCACTGGCCATCGGCAACTCTCATCCACCAAGAGTGTCGTTATTTTGTGCAATCTTTTTCCTTCCCAACTTCGTTTGGACGAAGCTTTCAAGGGTTACACGGTCCTTAAGGGGCACTTCATCTTCTGTGCCTGTGGGATCTGCGCTGAACCCATGATCTTCTTCATGGCATCTCCCTGGCTCGAAGCTGCTCCGTGGAGGAGCTCAACTCCAAAGCATTATAGATCGTTAGAGCTTCAAAAGTGCTTCTCGACAAGGCTGACATCTTGCAGTCCTGTCTGTCTGGCCTCTTTGGTCATGTCATTCCATAATCTTCCTAATCCCAAGTACCTACGCACGTAGCCCCACACCCTGAAGTCAAGACCCCAGTTGCTGCGGAAAGTCATGGCCGAAGACTCGGAGCCTGCGCGTCCGTCAGTGGTGGCAGCAAAGCTGCGTCCACCGAGACAGGGGGAGGGTAGATCTGGCAGGAGACGGGCACCCGCATCTCCTTGTTCTCCTCTGCTTCGTCGCTTCAGGGTTTAGGGTTTAGGGTTCAGGGTCTCTAGAGACTCTGTCCATTCAGCGGCCGTCACATAAGCTTTGCAGTCCGCGAGTGGTGGGCACTATGGCTTCAAGGGATCGGGTGTGCGACAGTGTCCGAGCGTCTCCGCAAACCGATGAACTTGCTAGTTCGCTTTTGAAGGCCCCACTTCTCGGGCTACAATCGGGTATGGTTGTTCCAACAATGCTTACTTTTCTGATTATGATCGCCACGGCACTTTAGTGGCGAGTCCTATAAGCCGAACCCGTCATGTAGTGGTATAGTACTACTATTATGTACAGCTATATGTCTTCCTTCTATATCTTGCAATTTCAGCACATAGCGATCCGAATGCATATAACCCTACATGTAGGATTTTTGGTACAAGGATAAGGTACCCGAGTCGTCGGAAAACTCCCATAAAAAGCTCCATGAGATGAATCCCTAAATTTAAACCTCCTTCTCTGAAGCGCCCATCCTTAACGCTGCAGCAAATCCTAAATCGTAAACCCCTAAACCACTAAGCTCTAGACTCTAAACGTTAACCCTATAACCCTTAACCCTAAAGCCCTAAACCCTATAATTAGAGCCCTAGACCCTCCAACCCTAAAGCCCTAAAAGCCCCCCAAAACCGAAAGAAGGCGGATCCTCGTCCACGACCTTCTTCCAGCCGAGGACGAAGCTCCACGTCCGAAGCCTGAGGCTATAGATTTAGGGTTTAGGAGTTTAAGGTTTAGGGTTTAGGGTTCAGGGTGTAGGGTTCAGCAGCTCCTGTTCGAGGAGTCTCTCGTCGAGCTCGCTACTTTGGTGTCGGAAATGATGCCACCCACCCACAGATTCCCAAAACATTACGAAACCATTTCACTTCTTTCAAACCCTATAACAAAGCCTATAACAAGGCTTAGAACTTGTAAACATTAACGCTCAAGCCAGCCCAGAATCATAAACAACCCTGAAGCTTAGATCCTAAACTCTAAGGCTTAAGCCCTGAACCCTATAGCCTAAATCCTAAACCCGAAAAATGCGACAAGCCGACCCCTGCCATTGCCTGCAAACCTTCCGGACCTTCAAAATGCCCTACACCCTGAACCCTAGCCCATCTACGGAGTTGCTGAGCTCTCTGGCCCCAAACACCTTATATGAGCTGTCATTTATGGCAGGCATGTCTTATTTCTGAACTTGCCAGCAGCTACATAAGCTTTACCAATTCTGCTAGGCCCCAAGTACTTCTCATACGACCAAACTTACTGTCAGTACCACTGTTGCTGTTATTTCCATTCTTACTACATGCTGCTAGAGTTGTTGCTAATCCCCTGAAGGCCTAAACCCTGAAGCCCTAAAGCCCAAAGCCCTGAAGCCCTGAAGCCCTAAAGCCCTAAAGCCCTAAAGCCCCAAAGCCCTAAACCCTGAACCCCTGAAGCCCTACATAAACCCCGAAAGCCCTACATAAACCCCGAAAGCCCTAAAGCCCTAAACCGGCTCTGAGACCACCAGGCTCTCGACTGGAGCTTGTGCTCTGAGGCCAGCCATCCTTTGAAGGCCTGACAAGGCTCTATGGGGGTTCAGGGTTTAGGGGTCTGGAGTTTAGGGTTTAGGGTTGAGGGAGATATCTATTATAGATATCTCCCTATTGATATAGTATATCAATACCGGCTACCTGTACCTATATGTATCTCTATACCTGTGTCTCTACACCTATAACTATATCTACATCTACATCTAAATCTATGCCTAACTCTATACGTGTATGTGTATCCTTCTCTCTCTCTCTCTCCCTGAATAAATAAATAAATAAATATATATATATATATGCACACATACACACGCACAAACATACCATACCATACCATACCATACCGTACCATACCATAACATTACCTTACCTTACCTTGCCTTACATTACGTAAACGGAATCTATGATGTGTATCTATGTGTATACATACATTATGTATACATGTACATAAAGCATACACAGATACATATACATATTTTGTGTATATAGGCTCTTCTTTGTTATAGCGTTGCTTGAGGACTTGGTAGGGCTGCATTGGATGGCAAACCCATCTGGAAAAGCTCCATCATGTGGTGAACAAGTCTGAACAAGATATGTCAGACAAGTATTCGACAGATCTTGATCTTCTTCACCAATGCTTCGACTGTTCGGAGATGGAGGCAGCTTGCGAACAGCAAGATCCTGCCTCTAAAGTCATCGTGCCGGTGGGCACCACGATTTTATCCTGAGCTGCAAGGAGACTTCAGAAGCTCAGAGATTCTCCGTACCGAGAGGGTTCGGGGACATGACCCCTTTGACTTGAAGAAGCTGACAGCGGTGTGTCCTACCGCCGACTGGCCGTGCCTTCGATAAAGGTGTTTGTCTCTCCAAGGCCCGCTGGGTGCTTGGGACATCTTGGCCGGTAGCAATTCTCTGAGCTGCCACCGGGAGGCCCACACGCTGTGCTTTTCGGGATAGGAGGCATAAGCCTCTTCCACGACATACTCAGCCTGGTGGCAAAGCGGGAATGCACAGGCTCACAATGGACGGCCTGGCAAGCGGTGCGCGAGCTGCTGAATTCGGGCCCAGGGCGCTAGCCCAAGATCCTATGCATCAATCCTGAGCCCTGCTGGCCTTGATCTTGCCGGCTGAATCGAAAGCATCCGGTGGGAGATCTTCTGCCTTGGACCGCAGAACAGGTGATCACGAGTAAATCGGCCCGGTCCGACAAGTTTAGTGCCAACACGTTGATGCTCACACTGCCAGGGTTGCTACCCGGGATAGTGGATTGCTGTCAATGGGTGATTACTATGCCTGTGGTTACCAGCAGGATTTTTTGTGCCCACGATCAGAGCCCTCAACGAAAACCTTAATTATGAAGGATAAAGGGTGTTCCCCAGGTCCCTATCACGTTAAACAGTTTAGAACCCCCTTACTTAGATCCTACTCCAAAAGGCCAAAAGGCTTATGAATGTAAACCCGCAACCTGCAACCGAATCCGGTAGAGGTAGGCATAAGAGCTGAGTACCCTGCCCGCGGCACCTTCTTCTCCACGCCCGAAGCAAACGTCTTTGGCTCCTGCAGCGGGTTAGCAACTTAAGAACAAAGCCCTATTGTTGACTGCTCCTAATTTTTTGCTGTCAATACTGTTTTTGTTGTTACATCTTACTGTGACTACGGTTGTGACGATAACTTTTGACAACGATACAAAATCTCGCTCGTCACTTGATGTATTCATTCATTCAGCAACTCAGATTTTAGGCGTCGATCATCTCAAAGGTCTGCATCACTGGCAGAGAGCCGGTCCTGGGCTTCAAAAGAGGTGTAGGTGTTGACGGCGAGACCAACCTCCCACACAAAAGCGATGATCCAAGAGAGCCACACGTCAGAACAGCTATTCCATGCAAGTCCGCTGATTTTAACTCCGTCCCTTCTCACCTGCCGGGTGCGGAAGCCCTCTGTGCCCTTGCCCAAGAGGAGCTTGAATAGCTCAAGCATGACCTTGGCTTGCTTCTGCATGCTACCCTTGAACTTCAGCTCTTGTTGCAGACTTTGCGATGCTATATGGTTCCTGGGACTCAGGAATAAGCGGAAGAAAAGGCCGGGCTGCACAAGTGTGAAAGATCTGCAAGACTTAACCCACAGCCACGGCATGCCTTGTAGAACTTGCTGGTTCTTCGATAGCCACACGAGATGAACTTGGGTATTTCCGACTCCATAGCTGGGAAATTCCCTTTGCGGCCCCTTGCTGCTAGCTGCAAAATGAAGTCTCAAGCTCTCTGCACCCCCCCACCAACCCGCACATCCACCCTTTTCTTCAAGCTCCTTTTCTCTTCCTGCGCCCTTTGCAGCTCCCGAGCACAGGCGCGGCGCTTCCTTCGCTCTGCTTGGAGCTGAGCTTCGGCCTCGGCAATGCCCTGCGCGGCGGAAGGATCTCAGGATTGTCCACTTGTCGCCAATGCATTTCTTTTTTTTGTCGCTAATACAGTTAAGGTTTAGGGTTTAGGATTCAGGGTGTACTACCTATCCATGACAGCTGGTACTCGGTGCTCTGACACTCCTACTGTTGTTCCTGTCGATCTATCACAGGCAGCTATGAGCATGTGATGGTTTTTGGTGTCATGGTAACATCGCGAGGAATGTTTCATCACTGGTGGCACGAGTAGTAGCCGTGGCAGTAGTAGTTGTAGTAGTAGTAGTAGTAGTAGGAGGAGCAACAGCAGCAGCAGGAGCAGGAGC